TGGAAAATTTAGAAATTTAGGGAAAATTATTATTTTTATATAATTCTTTTTTTTATCTAATAAGATTTATTTGCGAACACGTAAAATTTGTTGCCTCTAATATTTATTAGATTTTTATAATGTGACATATGTCTTGTGACAACAGAAAAAGAGTTAGGGAAAATTAAACCAATTAATTTATGAATCAACATGTGATGGCTACCCATAAATAATTTCCGCAGCTCCTCAGGGAACTATATTGGGTCCACTTTCAATTCTCCTGTACACTTCTAATCTTTCAAAAGTAGTAAACTAGTCCGATTGGTATTTAAAATTTTAATAATTAAAAACTAATTTATTTTTGTTTTAAATTCGGATAATCATGTTACATGGTCCCTCAACCCAGCATCAACAAGCCGCCTCCGCTTTCTCCGAGGACGTCTAAACCTAAAAATAAAATACATATCAAGATAATTATATATACGTTTGTATACTCTTGTCAAAAAAGTCAAGAGGTGTCAGATCTGGATATCTTGATTGCATCTTTTATGGCAATCTGCTGTATATTCATCGCACGTGTTGACATTTTCAAGTAAATCAAATGGATTATATTTGAGATAATTGTGTAATTTTTTTATACAGTAATTGATTTTGATAACATGTTTTTTTATCGAAATTGTGTAACTTTTAGTGATAAGCGCATCATTTTTTTTTTTCGTGGGCTCGTCTGACTATGTGTCTCCGAATAACACTGAAGCCTATCATTTATTAAACGTTTAGGAATTCACAGTTAAGTTTGTTAATTGATAGAATCTATTAAAGTCATTTGCGAGTAAGGTGGATGGGGACGACAGTTCTCAGGTACAAACATATACACATATACAATCTACTCAATTCAACGAATGGTATCGGGATTATCGATACTAGTAGTTGTATTCAGTAGATTATGTATATAACGAATTAATAAAATTTGACTGCTCAATATTGTAACGATTGTTTAATTTAAAAATAGTTTATTTGAGCCGTTTATTTATACTTAAATTAAGATATTCCTTATCGTTAATGTCAGAAAGCAGTGATAAAGGCAATTTTAATTAATTAGTATTTAAAAAGTTAACCTCGATTTTTGGACAATTGCATTAGTTGAATTATCAGTACGTTTACTTAATGCAGTTAAACAACATATCCACAAATCTTTAGGATATCTCAATTTAAGTATAAGTGGAGTTAGGTTACTTTCAAAATAAACGGCTCATTTATTTAATACTTACAGTTCTAATTTATTTATTACAATTTATCTTTTCTGTGCAACACTTAAATTAAAACTTAACGTCTATCCACAAATTCGCGCGATTTATACAAAGCCAGCTCTGAACCAGTAACTTTTCGGCCGTCTAGAAAATCTGGAATTTCTTCATCTATGACTCAGCCGCCGCTCAACGATTTCTCTGGTAGCTTCTTGAAGCAGTGTGTTTGTCTCTGTCCTGCAGCATCGAAAAAGACGAAGTGCCAGCTGTAAAGGCAAATGGTCAGAGTCTGCTTAAGGTGGTTCACGACAATAATTTATAGTTACATTGCAAAAGCAATGATAATATATTAACATGACAAGCTTGGCTCGACTAGAACTTTATATCATTAAATTAAATGGATGGTATTAGTAAAGAATCAAGCTATAACGAAGTGTATGTTATAAAACTGGAATGAGATACCTAACTTAGTTGTGGAAAAAACTGTTGATTGATTTTTTGTTGTATAACATCATCCAAAAATGTATCCAGTATGATTATTAGCTATTACATCGTTCCTAATTATCGATCTTCTTCTTGTTTCGGTTTATTTGGGCTCAATCCATCAGAATTATTTACCCTAGATGAAAAATACTATTTCATCTATATGGACTTTTTTTTGAACTGTTTTTTTTTTTTATGAAAAAAGTGCATTCACATGCGTCTGACCTTTGCCAATACTTTTTCAATTTCGCTTGGTATTTCACTTAAAATATTATTTTCCACTTTTGGCACTGAATATTCTGATTTGATATATTTTTAAAATCGGATGGTCACTTTTATACTAGATATTTAAAGATTTTTGTTGTACTTTTGGGCTGCCATTTCAATGTTGCCACGACGGTGTCCTAATTGGAAGTGATAATTATCGTTTTTTTTTTTTTTTTTTTTTTTTTTTTTTAATAATGACGGAGTAATAAAGTCCGAAGGTGTCAGATTGGGCTGGATTTGTGTTTTCTTTCCATGTTGGTTTTGACTTAGTTTTATCTTTAAATTAGAATTAAATACTGATAGTAATGTTTGAATCAATTGAGTTAATCGTTTAAATCAGGGATTCCCAAACTATTTTGGGCAAGATACCTCTTTTCCAAAATAAACTGATACCTCAGACCACCATAGCCAAATTACTTTAAAAATCAAATCTCTAGTTTTTTTCCTATTGATACAAAATACTTAACAATTTAAAAACTTTCTCATCAAAATTTAACAAAAAAAAAATAGATATAAATTTCAGTAAATATCAAGTGTAATTAATAATTATTAATATAAATTACGTAAAAATATTTCAGTAGGAAATTATTTAAAAAAAAAAATCAGTATGGTGGATGAACCTGGTGACTTTTTACCAATCTAGCTAAATCTGGCATTTGCAATATGACGGATGGAGTAACTTTCATAACGAGTCAATTGTTAATTTTGTCTTCACCAAAACGGAACCACGATTTGTCGACTTTATAATTATCAAAACCAACAGACACAATGCCTAATATTTGTCAAATCAAATGCAGAACGTGTTAGAAAAGTATGGGCCTGAAAAATTCGATCACATTGTGCCATTAGGCTGTATTGCTCACCTACTGCATTTAGTTTGCAATGACATATTGAGCTGCGAGTCTATCAAAACATTATGGCAAAAGTTACAGATGCTATTAAAACGATCAAAAACAGTCATATTTTTCAAGCTTTGCTTAGTAAAATCAGCAAAGAAAAGAAAATCAATGTTTCTCTGAAACTGGCTATAAAAACACGATGGGGAAGTCATTTGTTCAGCCTACAAAGCCTTTGCCTAAACAAAAGAGTTCTACAAACACTAGCGATAAGTGACGAAGTATCTAACATTATCAAAACAACTAAAAACTTTATTAATCGACGACTCTATATTTTGGATATAAGTTGACAAAATGATAACTATTTTGAGGCCAACTGTTGATCTTATAACAAAGCTCGAATCCAATAAACCTCTGATTCATGTCATTCATTCTCAACTGAACAATCTAGAAAAAGTTCTGAGTTGCTACCTCTGCCTCCACGGAAAAAAGTGGAGGAAATTCTGGTACTGAAAAAAATGAGCGAAAGAAAAGATTTTGCAATAGGAAAAATACATTTAACTGCAACCATATTGGATCCATCCTCCCAAGGTCATCAATTGACTGTAGAATAAATAATGGATGGCATGGAATTTATAATTGACACAGCTACAAAAATGGGATTGGCACTAAAAATCGGCGAAATTAAGGGTCTTCTAGCAGATTATAGAGATAAGGCAGGCCTATGGTCGAAAAGGTTTATCTGGGAAGGAATGGAAGAGATCAATCGTCTTACTTGGTGGAGAGACATCCGTGGCACAAATATACTAGCAGGCATTGCAATTAGGGTTATGTGTGCACCTGTAACTTCTGCTGCTACTGAACGATCCTTTAGCACTTTCATCTGGATCCATAGTAAAAAAATGAAATCGATTGACTACAAAAAGAGCTGCCAAATTACTTACTTGGCCTACAATTGGACACTACTAATGTCCAACCAGTCTGATTCAGACAATTCAGATATTGTGAATTAAATGTTTTATTACCAATAAATATTTTTTATGCCAATTGCATAAATTTAATAGATATCGATAAATTTACCCATTTTGGGTATTTTCACGGGAATTTTTCCGCATAAATCAATACCTGGGTATTTTACATCACTAGTTGTGACACAACACATCTACAAAAAATAGACGTCTATAGACGAGTTAATATATCGAACATATCCTAACAGAGCTTCATTGCTTGGTAATGTAGACTCGTCCACCTGGAGAGAGAATCTGTTGGTCTGTAAGAAATTGCATAAAATATTTTCCACATCTCGACCCATCTCGTCTATTCGTGTCAGAACGCTGTTATTGCTCAAAGGAATTCTCTTTATAATATCATGTGCGTGCTTGTGCAATACATTGATGAGGACCTTCGCGGTGGCTGTTAAAATAGCTGCTCTTCAATTGTAATGGGGTTTCCCCGATTTCGCTATTACTAAAGATATAGGATGCTCGTAAACCATCAACGTCTTGCGTAGATAATGACGCAAACATCGATCTTATGGATCGAATTTTCTCTAGTTTTTCTTTAAGTGCTTGAAAGGATGGGCTTACTTTTTTGTCAGCATGTACTCTTGATAAGTGGCTTTCCTTTTTTGAAGGCTTCATAGCATCGTTACTGAATACTTTTTGACATAAGACGCATCGGCAAGTGTTGAGTTGATAGAGATGGAATAAATCCAAACTTCAAGTAGTCCAAACTATGTCTGCATATTTTTTTTTTCGTGTTTAACATCATAAAACTCGCAGTAAACCTGCAAATGAAAAAATATATTAAGTAAAAACAATGATACTTCCTACTAAAATATGAGTCATTTTTATAACAAGTTCATACACATAACACAACTTAAACAGTATCTTGAAAGTTTCAAATAAGAACTTGTGTTAATTAATAGGGGTCGATTTTTAGACCTCGTCAACCCCCAAAATCAGTTTTCGTTTATGTCGACCCCTAGGAAACCGATTTCGACCACTTTGGGAATCCCTGGTTTAAATTTATCACAATGATTACTAGAGAGCGGCTTTTTGATTGACTTTAAGCAAAGTTAATTTTAGTAATTTCCTTTGTCTGGTCATAGTCGTTTACTAAGTAAAGATGAATCTCACGGTCAAGATCAACTTTGGGTAAGACTAATATCGTTTTCTTTTTGTTACAGGCTTAAAATTACAATGGCGTTTAACAGAATCCGATTCCAGTACTAATAACACAAATTAACTCAAAACATTTAACATTTTCTCACCGCAAAGATGATTGGACAGCATCCTCATTAACAATGTACTTGAACGAGGAGAGCCTGCAAACAATTGTTTGGCCACCTATTAGAGAAAAAGTCTCTCTAAATCCTCACACCTGCACTGCGCCTCTACCATTTATTTTTTAATGTAAGTATTACTTTTTTTTTTTTCTGCTACAATGCGTGTCTTTTATATTATTCCATATCGAACTTTTGAGACAAAGTACGCCATGATCGGACACTATATTCAAGGGCTATCTCTTCTAAAAGAGTATTTTTGTTCTAAATCCACTCTTAAAATTACAATTCGCCATTTTTAAAGTAAAAAAAGATTTCTAATAGTGTGTGCCTACCAACGGCCATATTGAATTGTTTTGACATGACATTGGAATGTTTCAATTACTCCTATTTCGTTAGAAAAGGACCCAAAGTTATCAAAAAAATTACTTCTTAATTAAACAGAAAGATATTAAGATATACAGTATTGGCGCCATCGAACATTGTTTGGTATTGAACGTGTCCCTTTCTGGATTAAAGTGGACTGTAATATGTTTATACTTATTGATACGTAAATTAAAATGCTACTCAACTTTGTAACTTAATTTAATTTTAGATATACGATATATAAAATAAACAATTAATCAACAATTAACAATGATGGTAGAATACATAATCTGGCCGCTCCTGACACAAATCTTGCAAGCAATATTGCCAAGTGATAAAATATACATAATTTGTAAAACGCAAATGAAGCTAAACCAAACATCTTCCAAGATGCCTTGGCACAGGTGCGTGTGAAAGCTACAGAGAGCCAGCACTGGTGCAAGCAAGAAAGAAACAATACCAGCGATGCCAGCATGTACGGCGTGGCCATCTCTTCAACGCTGTATCTTCGTATAAATGGCAACGTTGACACCGTTTCTTTTCCGCTCTTTCCAGTGCCATCTCTCTGTAGCTTTCACTCGCACTTTTACCAGGTGATATTGGAAGATGTTCAATGGCCAATACTGTATGTAACTGCTTACTTTACCAGTTGAATGTATCAACAAGAGCATAAGCATACGAAATTTTTATAAATGCAACACGTTCCACTTCGTTTACTACAAAACTTTTTTATTTTCTCCTATTTACCCTTTGTGGAAGTTTGTACTTTCGGTGTCTTTCATGTCTACATATCTTAGTTTCTTCCTTGTTTCTTTTCACATACATTTACTTGACATTTGAGTCTATTTTTATTATCGCTAGTACTCCCTTTGGTTTTCCCATACTCTTGCCTGGTTTCAAGGACTTCAAGACTAGTATTATCCCTGTGAGTCTTCCCTACTTTCGTGCCAACTCCATTTTCACCCTAGAAAAGATTCGGGGTACATCAGAGTAATTGCATAGTCCTTTTAGCAATTAAAATATAACGAATTCAATAGCTTCGCATTACTACCATCTTAAGCAAGGTAACTAATTGTAGCATATTATGAAGTACCCTCAAGTGGTGTCAATGCCTTCGGCGGTCTCCAATTGGCTAGATGAACAGTTGGAAGCTCGTGGTATCGATGCAGTAGTGTACACTCGTTACGTGCTCAGTTTGTTACATTCGCACACAGTCGACGTCCTGTATCCAGACGAAGATTTGGAATTTTCTCATTCGAAAAAGGTAACAACAAACATTAATAGTATAACTATTTGTTAAAATTATTAATGATTAGTATTGAGAGATAAATTTGATTAGGACTTTATTTTCGCATCTTCAGATATTGTTGAAGATGGTAAGAATGAAAATATGTAGAAGGTGAGCTGTTTGATAAATTTGAGCAAAAAATCATACACCTTGCAATCTGTTTAATTCTATCCTGACCCGAAATTTCTAATACTAATTATTTTTGTTTGTTGTGTACCAATCTTCTGTCACTTCTCATCCTCATCCTGTATCCTTGTGGCATTTTTGTGCTTTCTAATTTTGTCTCTAAGTACTTTTGAGCTATTCTTATTGGCTCTTGTTTAACTGTAAGTTACTGTTCTCCGCCAAAGCGTTCGAGGTCTTTGATTGATACTTAAGTCTTAAAAGTTTTCTTTTGTGGCCGCCATCTGTTAAATTTTGCTTGAATTTATCGAACAGGTCTACTTCTTGTTTAAAAGAAAACTTATTATTTTATTACTTCTAAATTCTAAATTTACTTTTGACTTTTTTTAATTCTCTTCAAAATTTGTAATTTTTTATTTTGTTTATAATTTTTTTTATATAATTGGTTAGTAAGTACCTACCGACATATTTTATACAGGGTCTTTATAAAAACGTATAGACACATATAGACCAAAATAAGACTATTTAAATAAACTTACCTTAGTACAAAGTTTCTCACTTTTGACGCTATACGGCCTTGAAGAAACAATGCAAATAATACATTTTTATTCTCATCATATACATCTTTGTATTCATGTTTTAGTAAATACATTTTTTGGGAAAGTCCAATTTATTTAAATACAAATATCGCCAAAACCTTTTTTGTAGTAAATGAGTTACGCAATCCAAATGTCATACTCGAAACTCCATTTTTCCATTGGCGTAGAAATGCTAAAAGTGCAATCATTGAAAAAATCATAGAGCTAGATTATGAATTAATATTAGTCATAATTTTGACAAGTGTTCTCTATCAACGTACAAAATTTAAGCAGAATCTCATGAGCTGTTTCAAATTTATAATGGATAAACGATTTAAAAATGTATCTTTGTACTGAGATAAGTTAATTTAAATTGGCTTGTTTTGGTCTAAGTAATATTATAATATTGCTATGTTTTTGTAGACTTTTACAGACACCCTGTATAGGTACTTTTAATCAAAAATTACGAAACAAGTTATTATAATTTCATAAATATGGCACATTGCTTTCATTTTAAGTATTTGTATGTTTGTTTCAAAAACTATTAGTATCTGCCAACTATAATAAAATCACGATTGTTAGAACCGAATGCTTTTTGAAATGAAAAGCATTCTATTCTGGAAAAAAAAAGTGTTGCCTACATAATAATTTTACCAATGGTTTATTTTATATTTTCATGTTTTATACGGCTTATAGGGTTTTTCCAAATTTGCCTACCTTTTTTAACCAAACGGATACAAAGGAAAGGAAAAAACGTCTTGACCACAATTTTATATTTTATTAATAGACATAAAAGCAACTAGTTTCGGTCAGTGACCCATCATCAGGCGTGTAAGAAAGTATATTTTAAAAATATACAACGTCAAATAGGGACGGTAAAACAATAATAAAATTTTGAGTGTAATAAGTAAAAAACTTGAGGGCAAACCACAAATGAGCTAAATTAAGTTTAAATTTATGATCAAATTAAGAAATTTACCATAGTCTGTTGTTGATTGTTGAGAATAGAATAAAACACCATTAATAATTACAAAATTAGTTAAATTAACCAAAAATCGATGGTATTTAATTAGTTAAATTAACTGAAACTAAGTTAAATTGAATTAAATCTCGGAAAAATCCGTTATCATCTGAACTGGCTAAATTTTATTTTTTTTATGTCACTTTAGATACTCTTAAAACACATTTCCAAATAGTTTCTTTGTCCTGTTAAAGCTTAAATATATTTTTTTACCTAAAAATGTCCAAATTTCGACCTAAAAGAAATGTGTATGACATCATTTTGATTGATTTGTTTTAGAAACTGTTAAATAATAATATTAGATCATCCTTAGAGCAATAAACTATATAACTGTCTTAAGCTACTATTTCGCAAGCCGAGACCGACTTCAAAACGCGACGCGACAGCACGAGAGACCAAAAACGGTCTCTTCACGTCTGAACACATCTAATTATCTGAAACACATTTTGGTAGACGCGACCGACGACAGTAGATTAAAGGTACCATTTCGGAACGCGCGACAGACGACAGCAGAAGCGCCGGCAAAGGAGACCAAAAACGGTCTCTTCACGTCTGAACACATCTAATTATCTGAAACACATTTTGGTAGACGCGACCGACGACAGTAGATTAAAGGTACCATTTCGGAACGCGCGACAGACGACAGCAGAAGCGCCGGCAAAGGAGACCAAAAACGGTCTCTTCACGTCTGATCACATATGAAACACATTTCTTAAGGTCGCGACCAGTGAGAGAAACAAAAGTGGACGACAGGAAGGTCGATCTCGGGGTAGCGTTTGCTGCCTGTCGCGCGGCGATTAGTCAGCACTAGTGGTCGGATACTATCGATCAGTGTTGCCAGAATATATTTTTATAATGTACCAGATTTATCTAAATAATGTACCAGATTTCATAAAAATGTACTAGATTCTATAAAATTACCAGATTTTTCTAATTATGAAGTTTGGTCATTAAAGAGCAAAAAAAGGTTTATAGAGAACACGAACACAACAATTTTAAACAATATTTTATCTCTCGACAAATTTCTGACACTATTTTATCTCTCCAGCAGTTTTTGAATAAGATTTTAATACCTTTTGATACTCTTTTATCTCTCGAACAGTTTTTAATTTTTTTTATCTCTTGAGCTATTTTGAAACAATACTTTATCTCTCGATAAATTTCTAACAGTATTCTATCTCTCCAGCAATTTTTAACAACGTTTTTTTATCCCTCGAGCAATGTTTGTACAAAATTTTTAACACTATTTAATCACTCGAGGAATTTTTAACAGTTTTTTATCTTTCAAGCTATTTTTGAACAATATTTGAATTCTCGTGCAATTTTTGAGCAAAATTTTAACAATTTCTAACACTATTTCATCTCCCGGGCAATTTTTAAAAACGATTGTAGTACCTTTTAATATTTTATCTCTCGAACAATTTTTAAAAAACCTTTTTTTATCTCTTGAGCTATTTTTAAAAAATATTTTATCTCTCGATAAATTTCCAACAGTATTCTATCTCTCGAGCAATTTTTAACAACTTTTTTTTATCTCTCGAATAATGTTTGCACAAAATTTTTTGTAACATTTTTAACACTATTTAATCACTTGAGCAATTTTTAACAGCTCTTTTACCTTTCAAGCTATTTTTGAACAATATTTGATCGTGCAATTTTTGAGCAAAATCTCTCGAGCAATTTTTATTAACATTTTTTTATCTTTCTAACAATTTTTAAACCTTTTTTTTATCTCTTGAGCTATATTTAAACAATATTTTATCTTTCGATAAATTTATAACATTATTCTATCTCTCGATCAATTTTTAACAACTTTTTTTATCTCTTTAGCAAACTGCACAATATTTTAACTCTCGACAAATTTATAAAAATATTTTATCTCTCGCGCATTTTCTAATAGATTGGTAGACAATGATGAATGCATCTGCGGCGAGGTAGCCGATTTACAACATTTGCTTTTAGAATGTATTTTAAATGATATTCACATATCAAATCTATATACCAAACTTATTCAACATAATGTCCAACTACCTATTAATTTGACACACCTTCTCGCCCTCAAGAATTTCGATGTATACAAAATTATTTATAATCATTTAAACTCCTTAAATTTAAAGCTCTGACGAAAATAATTAAAATATGTACAAAAATAAAAAATAATATAACAAAACTAAAAAAAAAACAAAATTAAAACAAAAAAAAAACAAATTCAAATAAAAAGAAAAACAAAAAAAAAACAAACAAAAACAAGTAAAAAACAAAAACAGACGCAAAAACATGAGCTAGAAAAAACCTATTATAGGATTTACTTCTTAATAATGTATTTAGAGACATTTGTATTTTTCAAATAAAATGTGAACTGTGAAATATTGAAGGATAGAACTTAAAATTGAATTAAGACAAAATAAACTTTATTAAAATTAATTAAAGATTGACTGGCCAGTTGGTTTTGAAACCAGTGCCAAACAGAAATACATACACACACACATTTTCTAATAGTATTTTATCGTTCGAGGAATTTTTTAGCAATGTTTTATCTCTCGAGAAATTTCTAATAGTAGGTATCTCTTGAGTCAATTTTGAACAATATTTTATTTCTCAACAAATTTTTCAATAGTATTTTATCCCTCGAGCAATTTTTGAACAAGGGTTTAACATTTTGTAATACTATTTTACCTCGAGCAATTTTTGAACACGATTTTAACAATTTATAATACTATTTAATCTCTCGAAAAATTATTAAATATTTTATCTCATTAAAATTCCAACAGTATTTTTATCCCTAGAGCAATTTTTGAACAATATTTTACCCCTCAAGCAATTTCTAATACTATTTTATACTTCGGCCAATTTTTAACACCCTTTTTTACCTCTCGAGCCATTTTTGAACAATATTTGATCCCTCGTGCAATTTTTAAACAATGTTTTATCTCTCGAGAAGTGTCTACTATTTTATCTCTGAAGTAATTTTTAAGAACTATTTTAATTTCTCTTGCAATTTTTGACCAATATATTTTACACTTCAAATGGAAACATACGCTGAAAAAAGTACTAGATTATGTTTCGAGTGTACTAGAGTACCAGATTCTCAGAGAATGTACTAGATCTAGTACAATTGTACTAGACTGGCAACACTGCTATCGATAGTCTCAAAAGTTACTATTGATAGTACTATCGAAACTATTCAATGTTGCACATTATACGGAATTAATGGATCCGGGAATCACCGTGATTGCATACGGGAATGTTTCTTTAATTTATTCATAAGGCAATAGATAGCTGCACAAACAGGAAGCAGAGACATAAGCAAACAGAAGGAGGTACACTTTCGGTGTCGTGCGTATATGTTAAAAAAATTAGCTAGACAACTTTTAAAACAGATTATAACCTGGTACTGAATTGCAGAGTGCGTTCTTATAAATTTGGTTTAATTTTTAATTTGAGTTTTTTGAATCGAATGTCGTGGAAATGAACTTGAAAAATACTAAAAACTAGCGAGTTTAAACTAACAATGATTACTTAAAACAATCGATTGTTTTCGATAGTATCAAACTATCTATGATATCGATAGTGCTATTGATAGTATCTGACCATTAGTCAGCACTTGTATTTCGAGGTGATTAGTTGATATTTAATAGAAATAGTAGTTGCAAAGTTCTTTCGATCTGTCCTGGGCAGTGTTGCCAGATGAAAATTTGCTGGACAGTAGGGGGGTAAAAAAAACAGTAGATCTGAACAGATTTTAATACAGGGGGAAATAATTATAATTTGCAGTGTAATAATAATAATAATAATAAAAAAACAAGTATATAAGAAACGAAAAATAAACATTTTTCTACCCAAATTAGAAAGTAAACAAAAATTTTTTTAATGTATACTTAACGTCCGGAAACAAAAAAAAAAACAATGAAAAATTATAAAATAATAGGTACTTCTTTCAGATCAGTCAGAATCAGATAATTTAAATACGTTGTGTTTGGCATGCATGTTCTTTTTATGACACCCTATTAATTCTTTGTTGCATTTTAAATAAAAACATGATTATCTTCAGGTTTTTTTTTTTTTGAGCAAACTTACAATAGTGGCTGCTTATTACGCTGCTTTTACTTCAGCAAATTTACTAGAGAAAATATTCTTTGACCATTTACTGAAAAATGAGGTAAACTTAATAAATTAAGAACAAAATTTAAGTGGATCTGGCAACACTGATCGTTGTCTTCAAATGGTCGTCTGCGGTCGTCGGTCTTCTTGCGATCGTCGGTCTTCTTGCGATCGCCGGTCTTCTTGCGGTCGCCGGTCTTCTTGCGGTCGCCGGTCTTCTTGCGGTCGCCGGTCTTCTTGCGGTCGCCGGTCTTCTTGCGGTCGCCGTGTTCTTGCGGTCGCCGGTCTTCTTGCGGTCGGCTTCTCAAATGTGTGAAGCGTAACGTAAATGCATCGGTCTGCTTTGCCGTCGCTAGTGATGCTGTCGTCTGTCGCACGTTTCCAAATAGTACCTTTACTATGGCAATATTTGCCGGCTTACCTGTCTTCCTCTCCTGTCGTATGTCGCGCGTTACCAAATGATACCTTAAAACTTAGATTTATTTCTTAATATGGTTTTAAAACTTTTGTTGACATCTTATGTCCGTCATTGCGTCATTTGAGAAGGGTAAAAAAGACAGTTTTGCCAAATCAATTAGAACATCTCAGAGGTAATTTTTAGGTCAAAGTAAAGTAAAAGAAAAAATCTAAATTACCTAACATGTACATAAGCCATCAGCAAGGCCTTATATATACACGGTGTCTCATTCATAATGAGACACAGAATAACAGTTGATTCTCTGATTAAAAATAACGATTAAACGAAAAATTACTATAATTTGTTTATTTCTCAGTCTAATTTTACTAAATTCAACAAAAATTTATGGTACCTATCATAACATACACCTATCGCTGCCAGTGGTGTACGGCATGGATAAGAAACACTTTTATACCCTCTAAATTTTACGTCACCACCCAAAAACTTATTTGGACTATATTTTTACATTTTGTGTTTTTTAAATAAATCATGTACTCTTGTTGGGAACTCATAAAATAAAAGTTTTGATTTTTTTATAAGAATACATCAAAAAATTCAAAATTATAGTCTTAATAAATTTTTGGAGAGGTGTAAAATTTAGACGGGATGAAGGTGTTACTCACCCATGCCGCACGCCAATGGCAAAATTTCTTTACTGATTTTTTTTGCTAAAAGCTGTATTTTACGACACCAAAAACGTTTGCTCATTATAATTTTATAAAAAAAATCAAAAATTAAAAATTAATATGAGGAATTTCCACATCTCGAAAACCAATCATTTTTATGAGTTTTCAACATGATTCATTTAAAAAAACATCAAAATACGTAAAAATATTGTCCAAATAAGTTTTTGAGCATTGGCGTAAAATTTACATGGGATGAAAGTGTTGCTTATTCATGCCGTACGCCACTGTAAGTTGTGTACAGTTTCAGGATCATGTCTTAGGAATGATCTTGTTTTTTTGATGATGTAAATCAGACTGTTGACTTTCTTCACTATATTAGCAATGTGGATTTCAAGTATTTAGATATGATTACACCAAGATCAGTTTGTGTTTCGACTGGAGTTATTGCGTTTCTATATATGATGTACTGTGTATGGGGATTATTTTAGCCAATGTGCAATACTGAACACTTATACAGAGTGTCTTAAAAGTCACTAGGTGATTTCGAAATGTAATAACTTTGATTTGTAAGGCTTTTTAAAATTTTTGTTTCAGATTTGTAAACTAGAAGCTTGGAAAATTTGTTATGGATAAACTCACCGTTTCCCAAAGAGTCACTATTGTGGAACTCTATTTTGAATACCATCAATCACTTATAGAAACTCAAAAAGCATTTTGCATACTTTTCAATGCATGAAATTCCGCCTTGGGAAATGACTATACTCAATCGAAAAAGTGCAATTAAATTGTCTATAGTCATTTTCGAGGAGAATGTCTTGCATAGAGAAGTCTGCGAAACGCTATTTGAGTTTTTGTAATTGATATATGGTGTTCAAAATAGAATTCCACAATAGCGACTCTTTGGGCAACGGTTAATTTCTCCATAACAAATCTCCAAGGCTTCTAGTTTCTTAACCTTTTTTTTTTAAATCACCTAGTGACTTTTGGGACACTCTGTATATGTTAAGGGGTAATCCCCATTGCTGGGACCAGATTACTATTTTGTTCAAGTCTTGGTTTTATTTTGTGAGAGCTTTTTAGTGGCTTGCAGTAGATCTTTCCGTCGTCTGCATTAAAGTTGGCTCGGACTCGATGATTTTGCATAAATCGCTGGTGTTTAAAAAGTTGTCATTCCAAGATGTCCACTCGTTAACTGCACTTAGAATAATTGTGACAACAGATTTTTTGGGCATAAATCCATGCTGATAGCTTGGTAACACTCTGTTTCATCATAAACTTGGTTACTACTTTTGTAATAATCATTTTCATTGCTTTACCGATTCAGCTTGTAAGACTAACTGGACGGTAGTTTATTAGATTCTTTTTGTCGTCTTTCTTATTAATAGGAGTGATAGATCCAGTCCATTAGCAGTTCCTGTCTTTGTATAGAGTCGTTCATAACTGTCACGAGGAGATTAAGAAGGTTATTAAAACATGTTTTAAGAAAAATAGGTGGGATTTCATCTATTCCAGGACTTAAATTTTGCACTATGGCAAATTTCACTTTTTCTGTTATTGCTAAATTTGTTGTATGGTTTCTTAGCTGTTTCTATTCAGTATTATTTTCACACAGGAGTAAAAATTGTTTCCGCCACTTTTTAAGAGGTTATGTTCATAATCTTTCTAGATAGAGCCAATACATTTTTAGGTTTATTGTTCTGATTTCTATAATGCAGTATAATCTTCCTCAGCTTTTGTTGACCTGTACCTATGCCATAGGTTCCGTTTTTTATTAATTTCTTTGAAGTGGGTTCGATTGATCCAGGGTTTTTATTTATTACTTCTAGTATATTGTCATTTATTACTTTGTGCAGTATGTTTGTTAAAGTTTTGTAAGAACTATTAGCAGCATCTTGCAAATGTGCACTATTTGGGCTATTGTAAAACTTTTTTTAAATAATTATTTCTAACCCATGAATACATACGATTGGCTCGTTTCGCTAGTAACAATTTAAAATTACTTAATTTGTGATACGGCACTGGCAGTTAAACATTACCGCGAAGTTCTCGAAGTCGTCCAACGGGGTTTGACGTTTACCACCTCTTCACCTACCAAAAGCCTTTCCAACGTCTGTCCCTGCTTTAAGAAATTATAAACGTTTTCGAAAAAAAAAAAAAAAAAAAAAAAAAAAAAAAAAAAAAAAAAAAATGTGTTTATTACTCTGTTGATAGTCTAATATTGATATTTAGTGATTTCTACAACATGAAATCAATTAAAATGGTTTAATTCACATTTTTTATGGTCGAGACTTAGCAACAACAGAACCAAAATGTTTGTTTAGAATGTTTCAGTGTCTAGAAGCTTTCTGTAAAATCTCAATAGTAATATCCAACGTTCAGATGATTTGGTATATTACTTAAATCTTTAGCACTAAAGAAATAGTTATCATTCAAAAATATTCCCACAGCTTGTCCTCCCGGGCAAAACACACGGCTCCTAAGCACAACCCTATACCTATTTTATCGATAAAACATGCTTAAATCTGAAATCATAAAATAAACCTTTGGTAAGTATTTTAACACGAATATATTTATTTTTTGCCCTTTGCACGTATACATTGTTAATTTTGGTACTGCAGGAAGTTAGAAGATCCAACAGAAGCTACATAGGATCGCACAGGTCCTCTTCTGATTGGTGGAGACATGCACATGCCGACGCTGAACGGATCAAACGTTCAGCCGCTGTCGAGTGCCTCTTGTCCGCCTCCGAACAGGTACACTGTTTGTCTCTCTCGCGCAGCTTGAGTGTAGATATCGCACAGATCAAATGCACGGTGATTCGTAACATAAAGAAATACTTGTGGCACTCGGGGACTGCCGCGGTAAAGCTATTGCATAGCATTTTTTATCAACTTATGCAATTATATTTATTTATACAGTATTTTTTTTCTTTGATATTAATTCAAGTTTTTTCTTTGATATTAACTCAAGTTACACTTTTTGAGCGTGGTGACCGATAAGAAAACAATTTTTTTCTTTTATTGAAAATAAATAAGTTAATATTGTTTAAAATATTTTTATTATCTTTCAATACATGTAGGTTATTCAGGAATTTTTATCATTGAAACTATAGGTTTATGGTAACTGAAATAAAAAACATAAGTTTGAGACTTGATATCCTCTAAATATCTGGAAAATACGTCTAGTCGCACGCACACAAACACCGTGCCGAAGTCTGCCGAACTGAAACGACGTTAGACGATGCACGGCTTTCAACTCTGCACCGCTTTCAACTCTGCACCGCTATGCCGGTCGGAGTGGGGGGTGTTAGATTTATTATCGTTACGGAATTTGTTTTTTTTTTTTCGATTTTTCGATTTTCTTTTATTGAATAAATGAGAAGTTAATATTGTTTAACGCCGCACCGCTGTGCCGGTCGGAGTGGGGGGTGTAACATAATGAATGTTGAGTTACGTATAGCTGACCTTGTATTTGATAAAAAATTATGAGTTTCTTTCAACTGCATCTGAAAATTTTCGTCAACCTTACAAAATTATATGTTTTTTTCTGGATTGCTTCCAAAGGGTGCATTATTGTGATGCAGTTTTTGGGCATTTAACTTCTACAATCATTTTTCATTTTATATATTAATATACAGTGCGGATGTAAATAGTCCCCCCCTTTATCTTTTGAGCCGATCGATATTTTTCAACCAAATTTGGCTCACTTCTATAGGACTATAAGTACTACTATTTACAATACTTGTTTTCGTTACATCATCTGCAGAAGCGTGACGTCATTTGAGGAAAAAGTTAAATAGAGAAGTGGGTTATGTGACACTTTTTAAACTGTGCAGACGCGGCATATGTCACGTGTCATGTCAGCTGTCATGTTTGCGACACGGCCAGACGATCTAAGATGGCGGCCACCATACACGATGACCGTTTGGTCTCTCTCTCTCCTCTCTCTCTCTCCCCCATCTCTCTCTTTCTCTCTCTCTCCCCCCTCTCTCTCTCTCTCTCTCTCTCCCCCCCCTCTCTCTCTCTCTCTCTTTCTCTCTCTCTTCTCTCTCTCTCTCTTCTCTCTCTCTTCTCTCTCTCTCCTCTCTCTTAGATTTATTTCAATTACATGCAATTTGTCCCCCGTTTGAATAGAAACGAGGCTTTGCTCTAACTCTAGTTTTTGTAATAGCAATGATTTATGCCCTTACGGTCATTGCGCTTCAACGTTATTTTATTTCAGCCAACTACCCTCACTAGGCCTCCTCCTCCTCCAGTTCTTCATGTAAGAAGGGAGTTAGTTTCGACAACTTTTCGTATATGACACTTAGGTCCTTTTGAAATATTAGCTCTCTTCAACGGCCATCTTCTTCGTCGCTTTGATACTAGGCAAATTTGTAAGATTAGACATCCTCCTACACACCTCCTCATCCTAAGCCACCCCTTCGTTTATTTTCTCTCTTTCTTTCTTCAACACATCTCTGCTGGTTGTTACAATTACAAGCTGTCTTTCGTTCTCTTCTCTTAGACTATCCTCCAGTTCTTCATGTCGCCAGGCGCAGGCCACTGCACTGGATTTAGTAACTGTCATCGTATACGGTAGCGCCCATCTTGGATCGCTTAGCCGAGTCGCTAACCTGATAGGTGGCAGGTTGACAACACTGTTTACAAATGACAACAGCTGACATAACACGTGGCATATGCCGCGCCTGCGCATTTTAAAAAGTATACCCAATACTCCCATTAACTACTGACACCTCGTTTGAAAGTTATTTTAATTCTGTAACTAACAGTATATATGTACATTTTTTATTTCCACTTAACGTTAGGGAAAATATGGGTATTATATCATGACCTTGTTTCTGTACTTTCACCTCACTTACAAAAGTTTAAAATGGACGTGCTAATGTTGACTTCAACCACAACCAAATATTGCATGAACTGCTGAGGTGAAAGTTCAGAAACAATGTCAAGATTTAAATGTATGTAGTGTTGTATACAGAATTAAAATACCTTTCAAACGAGGTATCACATAACCCACTTCCCATTTAATTTTTGCTCAAATGACGTCACGCTTGTGTAGATGACGTCATAATGAAAACAAGGATTGTAAAAAGTAGTACTTAGTAGTACCATAGAAGCGTGCCAAATTTGGTTGAAAAAGATTGATCCGTTCAAAACATAATAGGAGGGGGACTATTTACATAGATATATAACCAAGACAGATAGGATTATTTACAAAAATTTTGAAGAATGAACGGTGGTGTCCGCGGTAGAAACTCAATAATCGGATTGAACATTGATGCCAAGTTTACGTGCTTTTAACTATAGATATATATAACCAATACAGATTACACAATTTCTGAAGTCAACGCGGATGATCCTCGACAGAAATGCAATATTTGGATAAAATTAAAATATTGATGCCAAGTTTGCGATGTTTTTAACTGTAGTAATGTTATTGCGTTTGCTTGAATTACTGTTAGGTCTTTAAATTGTCCAAAAAAAAATAATGTCTGACAACAGCGGAAGTAGAGTAGACCGCAATTGTGTAGGGTCGTATATTGTTTCATTCATAAAAATTCCTTCGATACAGTACTAGTCCAGGAGCCAGTGAATTTTTTCGTACTTGTTTTCCCGGTCCGTGTATATTTAAATAATCTATTCCCGGTGAACTGTATATTTAAAATGGAACGCCAATCTATTAACAAAAGTAAGCCAGATTGAATTCACGCATTACGTCATATCGATACAAGTGAGATTGTTTACAAAGTGCCTTTGCAGGCCTATTTTCCCATTTCATGTATTTGTTTTTAAATCATGTTAAATTACTATTTTTGAAACTCAACAAGGAGAAAATCCAATTAACTCTTCCGTTGTGTATAAAGATAAATTAACTGAAGTTTTATTAGTAAAGTATTAATACTAAAATTTTAATGTAATTTACAGAAAATAGCTAGGTATGTATTTGTTTTTAAATAATTTGATAATTTATGAAAAAATGGAGTAAAAGTGGAATGACCAGTGGCCAGTAGGTCAGTCACTACAAAGTATCATATATTTCTATTATAACATAACTGAAATACCTACATCTTTTAATCATAAGGACATAAGTTAAAAACCATTTTAATATATGCATTAGAATGAAGTAATAATAACTTAAAGAGACGAGGTCTTAAAGTAATAGCTGGTACAGCATGTTTTTTAAACGTTTCCTCATTGCTGCTAGAATGAAATCACTATGAAATGTGCTCTAAAAACGGCATTTATAGCAGTCAGTGTTCAGTCTTAGGATCTCTTCCTAAAGCCCTCATCCAAGCTGCATACATATTAAAAAATAATTAAAAAAAAAACATATTATATACCTATATAGTTTTCGGTTCTGGGTGCCCTAAAAGAGGACACTTAGCCGACAATTTGGCTCAGATAGCTAAAACCCAAAAGTCACACCCCGAACCAGGACGTATTGCTATCCTTTTAAGTAAAAAATAACTACAAATAACTTACCTGAAAAATGAAGGCGTCTAACTTTACACCAAAAACCCATACACTTTTTCCCATTGTTGCAAGCACCCGATGACGATTAGGTAGATATCAACTAGAAGCATGTACTTAATGGTTATAAAGCTTATTTTAACACAAAAAGAATAAAGCACTAGTCGAAAAGCAGCAATCAAATATAAATAGACCACAATATTAAAATTCAAATTAAAAACTATATAAAAGACAAATACTCTAAAAGCGCAAAAGATCAGAACCAAATAAAATGAATAACCATAATAGCCTAAAAATCACACTAAAATTGCAAAAACTATTACTGTAAAATCATGAGATTACATCAATAATGCATATGCGTCAGAGTATCGCAAATGTCAAAAGTACAGTGTTTCCATGAAAATTTAGCTATGTTTTTAGCAGTATTATCGGACCATTTCTACCACGCGCATCCAACGATATTGGCGTTCCACAGTTCACTGTATTTTCCTCGCACCTCTAGTATAAATGATTTGACATAACGAAACTAACAATAATTATAATTAATGTAGAGTAATAAGTGATTCGTGAATTCTAAATAAAACAATTATTATATAAAAGTGTAAAAGGAAATGTAATTTATTTCCCTATTTTCTTCTGTAATATCTTCAATTATTATGTTTAATTTCTATAAATAAACCAACTGGTTAGGTGAAATATTGTGATATAAGATTTTATGTGTCCTATGCGTACACTTTAATATACAAAACACCTGGAACATTCTTTAAATAATTGTGGTCGTAGAAATAATTGTGTACATAACTCGTTTGAAAGTGTATTTTATGCACTTGCCAAATATATTATCCATACAGATTAATCAGACTATTTTTTTACTTAACTTCAGTACATCTCTTACTACTAAAACTATTTTTATCAATGGAAAAAAAGGGCCGTGTTCTCGTATGTTTTGACGCATTTTCGGCCTCAGCCCATCGGATCTCCCCTCTAAATATATATGAATTTTGCTTAGAATTGCTAATCCTACAATTCTCTATTCGTGCTTGCTGACTGGGAAAATAAATACCGAAAATCGTCACTGTCTCCTGGACTATACAATAGATGATGATGAGAACTTCACAACAAATACACTTTTATGAATGGCTAGTTGGGGATGTGACTATTTACATCCGCACTGTATACATTATATATTATGCTTAATATTCTAATTCGATATTTCATAAGACATTGAATGAATTACTCTTCAGAAACGTCGATGGATATAGCTCCAAAATCCGGAATGG